TTAACCCAAAGATCGAGCTGCTCTGGCAGCTCAAATCCGCTAGTGGCTTGGAAGGAGAAAGATGGACATTCTCCTTCCCATATGATTTACAGCCCAGGGAACCTGCCAGGTGGTCAGCTTTGAGTTGGTTCTGACTCAGTGGTGGTAAGAATTAACAGGGACTTGAAGTCCTGGGGAACTTGATGGAAGAAAGAAGAGTCAAGGGACTAGATAGGCGGGGAGAAGTGGAGCATGGTCTGGGGGAGAGGACATATGGCTCAAGGGCATCACTGGGGAGGTCAGGCTGCAGGACTGAGGCTTGCCACAGTATCTTCTACCCTTGCCGCAGTATCTTCAACCCTCAGCTGGAGGATGCTGAGGAGATATATACTATATTAGAGCTGGAAAGGATCCTACACATACTTTAGGAGAATTTTTTTTAATTGCTTTAATGGCCCCAACACTTAAGTTCTCCATACAGCTATACCCATTGGTACCAAAGCCTCCCCAATGCCATCTGGGGCTGGAACTGTGTGGATGTAAAAGGACAGTGGCCAGTCTAGTGACAGAAGGGACAGCAGGGGAGGAAGAAAGGCCTGTGTCACTTTTTAACACAGATGAGTCCCTCCTCCACCCCCAGACATCCCTGGGCTGGCTGTGGTTTCACCTTCCCTCTGTTCCCAGACTCCTGGCTTCTCACTGAGCCTAGAGGAGCCGTCCCCAGGTCTGGGCCTCTTGCGGGCACTGCCAGCCTCAGAGCTGCTCTGCAGTTTCCAGCCCTGACAGGGACTCTTTCTTGTAAGTGGTCATGTGCTAGGGGTATGGGACGTCAAAGGAGGCCCACACCCTGACACAGAGGGACCGGAGCTGGAAACTGAGGGTGTGTGTGTGTGTGTGTGTGTGTGTGTGTGTGTGTGTGTGTGAAGGCAGCAAGCTCTTCTACTTCCATCTTCTCAAAAAGGTCTGAAGCTATTCACTTCTGTCCCCCACCCACAGTCTGAGGCACTGGACCAAGCTATTCCACTTCTTTACTTCTCCAAGTAAAACAAAATGCACATTGCTCCGCTTCCTTCTTCTTTTACTGAGCCCTGTGTGCACAGCACTGCCCCCATCCTGAGTCACGTACACGCACGATCGCATGCACCCTGAATGCACACCTTACATTTCCAAACTCACACCCAGAGCTGGCTCCTTTTACAACAGGTTCCAGCCACTCACATCTCAAACCGGTTCTCATGCTCTCAGATTCCTGAAGACTTCAGAAAACATCTCATTTGGGGATTGCTGATAGCTCTCCCCTTTCTCTGTCTGCAGTTAATTCTGGCCTCAGCAGCCCTTGCCTAGGGTCTTTCAACCCCTCCTTCTACCCTGCAGAGACTCAAAGAGGTGATGGGTGAGGGTAGAGGCCAGGGAAAAGTCTGCCCCCACTCACCCCCCCTTGCAGGCTTTCCCCAAGCCTTGAAGAACATGTCATTGAGAGAAGAGAGGTCAAAGGGAGTCTGGAGGAATTTCTAAGCAGTCCACCCCTCCTTCTCCACCCACTCTGGTAAAATGGGGGTGGGGGGTGTGGAGTGGTGGTGCTGTGAGAGGGAACTGATTGAGGATCAGGCTGAGTGAGTAGGTCTCTCTCTCGTCTCTCTGTCAGTCTCTCTATCCAGCCTGGCCTGGCCTGGGCATAGGCAGTAGCCGGCTGCCCACGGGGCCACCCTCACCCGCTGACACGGTTATGGTTTTCATTTCATATTTTGGAGGGAGGGGCTAGGAGGAACAGTCCCCTCACTGTAAAAGCTGGCCACAGGAGCCGTGGAAAGCAGGGAGGAGAGGAAACAGCCACATTAAAGAGGAAAAGAGGGGTGGGGAGAAAGAAAGAGAGAGACAGAGAGACGCTTAGACAGAGATCCAGAGAGACCCAGAGAGACATCAAGACAGAGAGACACTGTTTGCCCCCAGATGAAAACTCAGTCCTAGAGATGGTGTTAGGTTACATGGAAACTGTAAATAAATACATATGGCTTTATCGAACCCTATCCCTAAAGAGAAGAGAAAACAACCAGGTAAATGAAATGGCCAGGCTGGCTCTGCTGGAGCCTGCTCCAGGGGACAGGGGATGAGCTTCTCTGTCTTGCTCTTGGCCCTCCTGAACATGGGATGGGGGGCAGGGGGCATACACTCTCACACACACACCCCTTTTCATTCAGTTGAAACCTGAGCCTTCTGCAAAGATTAGGTCTTTTTAACCACTGCCACCTTCCTTTCTCCCCCAAAAAGCAAAGCAAATTAATGCTTTTAAGTTAACAATTATCTTGGTTATCCAGTCTGTCTACTTTAAAATACAGACAGGCACTTGAAAAACACTCAAAACCATGTACACTCATGCTCACTCAATCCTAGTCATACAAACCACCCACCACTCATCTCATCCGCACACACTGTTCTAATAAACACATATACATTCATGCTTAACATCAGCTTTGTCCCCTGGTGATGATCATCAAGGTGTGTCTGTCTCCCTCTCTAACACACACACACACACACACACACACACACACACACACACATACACTTCCACTTAGGAAATTCCTTTCTTCTCTTCCCCCCTCATTCCATACTACTTGTGGTAAGGATCTGTGTTGTCAACCCAAAGGCATACAGTTCAAATGCACCAGCTGCTACGAGGGAGACAGACAGGCTCTTTCTGTGTGATTTACTGCCTTTGCGACTCACTGGAGGGTCAGTGTGGGTCAGTTCAGACTCGATAGAACTTAATAAGGATTGTTGGACAGACATTCGGCTATCTGAGATACTAGTTACTCCATGAAAGATAGTTGTGAAAGGTATTTGCATTCTAAAGACATGTTAGAGCTTCATTTCTAAGCATGTCTCATTAAGGCATACTTCTTGGCACTGGAGATATCGGAAAGATCTATTCAGGGGTTTGGGAAGTTTCCCTGGTAGCCATAGCACCAATTTTATGAGTAAAAATTTCAAGATTGCCCTTCTGGGTCAGTATGTTCTTCCTGTAGCATCTAACTGCAGATTTGGTCCAGTGACTGTCCTCTAACTCAGCAAAACTGCTCACAAGCAATCTCCAGCCATCTCAGTTACCAATTTCCTGAACAGCAAGCAAGGTCAAAGATAGCTGTAACAAGGGCTTCCATTCTACGCCAAGCTAGATTCAGTGATCAGAAGGAAGGAAGATGCCAAGCTCATTACAGAGCAGTGGGAGCAAGTGTTGGCTCATGAACTGAGAAGAGCACTGGAGAAAACTTCCAGTCTGTAAATTCCTGGAGGGTAAGGGATTTCACCCTCAGATGCATTTCTCATAGCACCCAGCAGGATGTCACATGAATGGGGGACCCCAGGAGTAACTTGAAGGAATTTTGAATCTTCTGTCCCTGAAGGATGAGCCAATCTCTCAGGCTTGAGAACCTTGGCTTAACAGCGCCTATCCCTTCTAGGGGATCTTCATCTGTCCCTGGGACACCCTCAAATATACGGCTTGCTCTCTTGCTTGCCTCCAGCTTCCCCTCTCACTAGGCCATCATAGATACTGGCTCCAACTTGAAAGAGTCCTTATCTTGTCTCTAGATTACTATACTAAATCTGTTCCTTCTTTCAGAAGTCAGCTTTGTTTATGAAAACACAAGCCAATCTACAGTGGGGAGAGGGGCTGCTCTCAGCTGGGGATGGAAAGGGTTGTGGGCTGTCTGGAACTAGGATACAAGAAGAGGCAAATTTGGGTTGGAAGGACATAGGGGTGGAATGTGGTATCTGGCAAGTGAGGGTCTCTAGGGCCCTAGCTTTGTAAATGGGTAGGTTGAAAAGAGGAACAGTTCACTGAAGAGGCAGTGTTTGGGGAGAGGAGAGTGGCACTGATCTAGCACCTTCCTTTTAACAGAGCCAGAGCTCATCTAGTATTCAGAGTAAGTGCTCAGACTCCTGGATGCAGTGACCTCACTGCCAGACACCTGGGCTTCTCCAACTCTCAAGTTCAACCTTCCCTTCTGGCCTAGCCATCTCCTCACTCCAGCTTGTTTCAGGAGCCCCCCCCCCCCCAACAGGCAAAGCATAAGCCATGCCAAAAGGAATTTTCTTTCTGTTCATATAAATCTCTTCATCAGTGAAGATGTGATAGAGAAAGGGGTGCAGCATGAGGTCAAGGAGGAAGGGAAGCTGCCCCCAAGAGAACTGTCCTGACACCAGGGTGGCTTCATTTAGCACAGATGGGATGAAACTGCTTAGCTTTGGGGCTGGCAAGGCGATGAGCCCCTGGGTCAGGGATGGGGGAGGGAGGGCCTCCCTGTCTCTTAATTCCTAGAGGAATCTGTCAGAACTCCCCAGTTTGGAATTTTACTTTGTTATTTTAATGCAATTCTGACCTGGATTTAAATGGAATTGGAAACCCGAGGTCTTAATAAATAAATATTATGATAAGAAATGAAAGCCATGCAGGACGAAAGAGATTTTCCTCCGCCCCCCCACCCCCCCGCGCAGAAACACAACATTCTTGTCGCGAAGCAGTCACAGAAAAATTTTCTTCTTCTCAGGTCCTGTCAGTGAGAGACGAGTTGGTTTCCCCATACTTCCCATTGATACGACAGCAACTTGGAGATTTCTAACTTTGCATAAAGGTTGGGGGTGAAGAGGAAGAGATACACGGTGTGGCCGGAAAGTTCTCCTTTTCTCAGTCTCTCCATAGCTTTAAGTTTCTTTAAGAGATGTGGAGTCTCATACTTTGCAGGAAAAGAAGTCTTCAGAAGCAGCTTGGAGTGGCAGTGAAGTTGGGCAGAATTCTAGCGTGCACGATCACTTCAGTACTGCCCACAACTTCTCAATCCTAGCTATCCCGGACTCCTCCAAGCCGCCCGCCGTGGGCGCAGCCCTCAGAGGTCAGGTTCCTAGCCAGGGAGTCCAGGAGAACTGGGCCCCATCCTGACAGTACCACACTACCCAGCACCTGCCCAGCCCCTCAGAAATCGCGCCCCAACCCTTACAGCCCCGTGGCCGCGGGCCCCTCCTACCTTGCGAGGCTTTGCTGTGCTGGGCGGCGCGGGCGTGGACCAGCAGGACCAGCAGGCAGAGCCCGGGCACGCACCCCAAGCCCATGGCTGGAGCTCTGGGCGGCCGGGGCAGGTCGTACAGCCCCAGGAGGACGGAAGCTGGCGGGTCCCCGCACGGTGGACGGGGAAGAGAATGGGGCGCCCCGCTGGGGCCGGGCTGGGGGCTGTGGGAGCTGGGTGCGGACTACAGCGCCGTCGGCAGCAAAGCTCCCCGCGCTGCCGACTCCTCCCTGCTGGACGCTGGGGGAGAGCAAGCCGAGAGCACGAGAGGCCAGGGGCGCTCGTCGCCGTTGATTGAGGGGCACCCCCGCCCTCTCCAAACTGGGCTTTGCTCGCGGTGGCGCCGGGGCTGCTCCGTCTAATCCCACCCAATTCCCAGCTTTGCCCAGAGAGAACTGCAGCGGGGAGAGCACGGAGCCCGAGCTAGGGACCTGAGAAAGGGGAGGGGAAACACCGCTCCAGAAACACGCCCTTTCTGCCTCTTTCTTCCTCTCGTTCCTGTCTCTCGGCTCCGTCTCTTTTTCTTGGCTTTTCTCCTCCTCCTCCTCCTCCTCCTCCTCCTCCTCTTTCTCCTCCTCTCCCCGCTCCTTTTCGTTTTCTTCCTCCTCCCCCTCCTCCACCACCTCTTTTTTCCGTGCCCTTTTTCTTTCAAATGGGGCCTCGGCGCGGCGGCAGCTCCCCCTGCGCGCCCGGGCGCAGCGGCCCCCTCCCCAGGCTGCCGGGCTGCTGCCTGCAGGAATTTACAATCCGGCGCTGGGGGAGCGGGCCTGGTCTCCATGGAGACGGCTTCCCCGGGAGCAAGGAGGTCAGGCGCAGACCGCGCACAATCAATGGATCAATGCAAACCCCGCTCGGCTCCAGACCAAACAGCACCGGGCTCCAGCTCGCCCTCTCTCCCAGCGGAAAGCGCTGGGGAGCAAGGGTGCGCCCCCGGCTCGCACGCGAGGAGGGCTGTGTGGCACAGATTTGCACGCACACCCCCTCGAGGGGACAAAGGGGACTTGAGATGTCAAGGAGGTTGAGGTGGACCCACCGGCAAGGAGGACGACATGGCCCCACAGGACCTCTTTAGAATCTCTCAACTCTTAACCTCCAACCACACCTCCACCTCAGGCTCCTAGCTCCATTTCTCGCACTGAGTCCATTTTAACTGATGACCAGGAAGAAAGGAGACTTCTTTCTAAATCTTGCTAAAACGGTCAGCTCCACCACTTACGTCCCTGGCAGTTAAGGCCTCGCTGATGGCCACCGAGCCACTCTATTCACACAGACCTGAACTTGCAACACTCTTGAGTTTCCCGGGGCAAAAGCAATCTACACAACCGTGGTTGTGTGACCCGTGTTTTCCTCCAAATCTACTCTCAAAACTTGGCAAACGGGGCCCTGACCCATCCATTCTCTACTCTCAATCCCTTCAACTGCAGGAGCAGCTGATGAAAGAAATGTTCAAAGTAGGGGCAAGGTGTGCTGATGGAGCCATGCCCTCACACGTCAATGCCACCCACCTCCTGACCCACTCTCTGTCTCTGGGAACCTTCTTTCTGCCCAGCACAGAGGAAAGGGGAACACGCTCTTGAAAGGTGGTAGGGGTTTTCTTGGAGTGTGAGACCAAGGGAGGACTGAGTCTGTGCCAGGTTCCAGCTACTTACTCCTGGTTTCAGAGCCAATTTTCTGCAGGGAAAAAGACTGATCTAGCTTAACCTCATAGAGACCTCAGGGTTCCTAGGAGGAAAGGGCAGTTACCAGGCTTTTCCTGATAACTAGGTTCTTAGACCCTTGATATGGCAGCCTACATAAGCTGGGGTAAGGGTTGGGTTTTATCATTGCTTCTTTAGTCCCCAACTTCTATAAGGATTGTTCAGGAAGAATGAAATGATAGAAACAGAGAGAGGTATGTGAGTTTCTTGCCCCAGCTCTATTCTCAGACAAGGATTAACTTTAGACAAGTCATTTCTCAATGACCCTCAGTTTCCTTATCTGGAAAACAGGAAGGTTGGATTTGCTCCATAGTGGAAGTCTGGGAGAAGTAGCCTTGAGGCATGAGAGGCGCCCACTGGGATGGGAGCAAGAGAATGCTGTGGAGGTCAGAGACAGGTTGAATGATCTCCAGGTTCCGTCTGGCCCTGTGACTGTAGGGCTCCCTCCCTCCTTCATTCCACTGGCAAGCCCTTCCCCCTTACAGGAGCTTTACCTGCTGCCACCAATTATGTGTAGGGCTGGGGGACAAGTGCAAACATGCCAGCCTCTCTCTGCCCCACACAAGAGAATGGTTTAAAAAATAGAAAGAATTGGAATCTGCCAGACTGTTCCTGATCTATATGGGGGCAAAAGGGAGAGAGCCAGGGAATCCCTCAAGGCAGAAAAGGATGACTGAATGTTGTCTTGCTTTGTTTCCCTTTGCTTTGCTTTGAGCACTAGTGTGAGCTCATCTGGGTCCCTAAAGGCAGCCTTAGCTGACCCTCCACTATAGCTAAGGTGGGCACAGAAGATTCTGTAGGAGTGGGTTAGTGGGTTACGTGAAGTCTTTGCTCTAGTTTCTGGTCTTCTCAGTGTGGCCATTGCCCTGGTTTAGGGTGAGTACGACCTAGGCAGTTTCTCTACCTAAGTTACATTGTTGGGAGTTTGGGTATCTTTTCCCTCATCCTGTCACCTTTTCCTCATTTTCTCTGTTTCTCTAGGACAAAGTGAGCCTTTCTTCCACATATGAGTGGAAGAGGCAGTTCCTTGCCCTATGCCCTGACAGTCTGATCCCAGCCCCTTCTATCCCTTTGGAAGCTTCCAAAGGGGCTGAGGGAGTACTTCTATCACTGGGGTGCTATGAATTGGTTGCCCTGCTCTCTGCCTTGTCTCCTTCTGCAGGACTCACGACTGGCCAGCAACTCAGAAAGATGACAGAGGAAGGACTAATGAGATAGCTCTTGGAATTGGTACTGCAAAAGCAACGACATATGCCATCACAGCCATACTTTTGCCAGTAGAGGCAAAATGTCCAGTGGTCTCTGGACCTTCAACACTTAGGAGATATCCATCATGAACTCTCTGACATCTATTTAATCTTACTTCATCTGTGAGTGTCTGGAATGAGGAGTGATGGGAACCCAGAGCTGGTATATCTCAATTCCCATCCTGCTTAGGAATACCTGTATCAGGATCCCACCTATACTCAGGGATTTCCTTTCCTCTGCCATGTCTCCTTCCATGAGTCTTGTGGTTTTCTCCCTGCATTTCAGCTTCTTCATCAATAAAACTATTCTACTAACCTTATCTTGACAGGTAGTAGTATTTAATAGCTAGCATGCTTGCAGTGGATCTCAATTGTCTAGGGTGAGTGTCTGACCCTGCCATTCCATAAAGTCATATATCTTTTTTTGGGGTGAGTAGGTATTTCACTTCTCTGTGCCTCAGTTTTCTCCTCTGGAAAAGGCGTAGGTATAGACATAACTTCACCTTGATCTCTAAACAAGTCAATAGGTCAAATTCAAACTCTGTTGCTTTCTAGCTGTGTAACTTCAGGCAGGTTACTCAAGCTCAGTGAGCTTCACTTTTCTCATCTGATAAAGAGCACCTACTTTATAAAGTTATGTTGATTATAAATGAGACAACCTATGAAGAACAACTGGCAAATAGCGGGCATTCAAAAGGTAGAAGCTCTTGTTAATATTTTCACTACTTCTCAGAAGGAGCAAATCCCAGTATTGAGTTGCTATTGAATTGTATTACATACGGTTGAGTTAGAACCGACTCATAGCTGACCCTACAATGGGTTTTCAGAGGCAGTAAATCACATAAGAAGAGACTGCCCATCTTTCTCCTGCCCAGAGGCTGATAGACTTGCCTTAGGGCTGGCAGCACAGCTCTTACCAAACTCTTAACAAAAGGCATTACTAAAAGAAGCACTTTTGTTGCAGGCCAAGCTGATGTTGCTTAAAGTGAGTGCAGATAACTGGACTTCATCTTGCCATCTCTAATAGGTTCCTGTCTGTCACACATTCCTATTGAAAAGGTTCCCAAAATTCCATGCATTCCAGGATACTGCCCTTGTCAGCCACACTTTGTCTACATTGAGGAGAGTTGGGGGAAATGTACCTTCCAGGTACTATAGTTCTGGAATATATTCTTTCCAACTGCCTTTCACTTCCTACTATGCCATAAACAGACACAGACACTCAGACACACAAATTAGAGCTCAAAGCCTTAATTTACAAAATGTGTTCTATTTGCCGACCTCTATCAGATACTCCACCAGAAAACTGCAAGGGAGCCTATTGTAATCCCCATTTTATCGATTTGAAACAAGAGACTTGTGCAGGTTAAGTAACTTGCTCAGGATGATAGACTGGCTGATAAGAGATAAAGCTAGGAGTTGGGCTTAAGCTTGATGCTGGGGCTTATCTACCTCCTCTCCTCTCTACACTATCCTCCCTGAATCCAGAGACCCAGAACACTCTTGTTAAGAGTCTAATAATTGTTAGAATCTAATCATTTGGAGCAGGTTGAGGGTCACAGAGCAGTCCTTTCAAACCCAGGCCAGCAACCTTACTCTAGAGGTTTCTCCAGTAATAGAACTCAAGAAGATTTTGATGTAAGCTGCAGTTGAGTCATTTGAACAAGTTGTTCACCTTACAGCAGCCCCCATACACGATAGAATGAAACACTGGTGGCCCTGTGCCATCTCCACGGATGGCTGTGAATTGGACCACTCTGAAGCCTGAGATTTTCATGGGCTAACATACACAAATGGACCACAAGCTTTTTCTTCTTCGTCTGTCTTAGTCTGGAAGCTCTGCTGACACTCAGCCTCACAGTGACATTCAAGCCTCCATTGACAGAGAGGTGGTAGCTGGTACACAGGCTGGGAACTGAATCAGGACACTTAAGAATTCTACTGCTGAACCAACAATGCCCCATAGAAGACATTGGTCATCTTTTTTTGTCTGTTATATGAGTGGTCATGTGACTTTCCCAAGGTCACAAAGTACCTTAAGATAAGAGGCAAAGGTAGAACTATGGACCATCTGTGACTTTCAACTCATGAATTAGTGCTTCTTACCTGCACTCTCAGAGATATCAGTCCTCTTTCTTCCAGTTTACATCTTCCTCTTCCTCATCATCTGACTAGTCAGCAATCCACCTGTCAAGTGGCATATGGTACCTATTTTGTGCCCCTTTACATACACTTTCTTGGGCCTTCAACAGGTGCTGTCTAATGGACTCTGATCACAGCAACTGGTGTAGAACTGTGTTGTGTTGGGGTTTTAGTAGCTGGGTTTTTTGTTTTGGTGTGGGTTTGGTTTTTTTGTGTGGGGGGGGTTTTTTTTTTTCTGAAGTAGATCCTCTGGACTTTATTCTGAGGCATACCAGACAGAGTAGATTAAAAATTTAAACTTTTAGGTT